AGGAGAAGGGAGGCTTGACCGTTAGAAAACTTGCTTTTCTCTGTGCCAGTGAATGAGCTCTGAAGTGAGAGTTTACTGTTGAAGCATGTATGGAAAGGAACAACTTTGATACTCAGGTTTTCTTTTACCCCCTCCCTCTGTCTTACATCCTTATTACAGCATTTTCTTTCACTTTATAGTGAGTAATGGGCAGAAAGAAGGGGAAGTAGAGAGGGGGAGAGAAAGGCTTAAATTTTGATGTCAAAGTGATGGGTCTTAGGCTGGCTGCTGTGCAGAAAAATACAGAATTCTTCCAGTGAACAAGCACTAAGGATGACTGCTACTGGAGGCAGCTAGAAGAAATGTTCTTTTCTTTTTTTGAGGCATGTTTCAGGATCATGTGTCAGGGGTTTCAATGATCTCCCTAGATAATCAGTACCTATTGTATCACATACTTCACTGAGGAGCTTAAGTGAGTGTTTGCCATGTTTGTTATCTTTTCCATTTGGTTAGCAGTTAATAAGAAGGATGTTTCTATTGTGTAACAAAGCAAGTGAATAAAAAACCCCACTATTTCCTGAGTCTTTGCCTTCTCTTACATACCTGTGAGACATTTCTGCCGTAAAAAGATGGTGTGCTGTCCCCTGGCTGTACTGGCAGGATCTCTGCTGCTTGCTTTTGAGTCAGTTGCGCAATCAGCAGTTTAGCAGATAAGCACATCTCAGTTACAGTTGTATGAGTAGTTGCAGCCTTTGCCAGTATTCACCTTTAATGCTGTGTGTTCTGTGACTGCAGTTTAACTACTTCAGGTATTAATGTAATATTTAAAATGAGCATCAGATGGGCTGATGCAGGCTTAATTTTTCTAAGTACCATGAGATGAGGTAAAGTCCATCTCCTTGCTGCTTTGGAGAACACATTTATGATGAAAAAACAGTGCCTCTTTGAAAAAGGTTAAGGTTTGGTTTTGTAGGGTGCAACTTGTCTGTATTTTGGTGTATATATGCAGAGAACTCTTTTCTTTACTTGTGCAAACAGCCCCTGTGGGCCTGTTGCTGCTCTAAACGGAGTTTGGCTGAGCTGTGTACCTGTTCCTCATTCTCTGCTACTCGCATCACCAGGTTTCAAATTGATGCGTTTCCACGTGCTTTGTGGTAATGCATTGTGGGGAATACACAAGAGGGCTGTCTCCTTAGCTTCAGAATAGGGGCAGGAACATGGGGAAGGTGTATTAGTGTCAAACTAATGGGGAGCTGGAGGAGGACTGGTCAGACCAGTTGTGTGAGTGCCGAGTCCTGTCACAGCAGCGGAAAGTGTCACAAGGCAGTGACAGAAAGCTTTCCACATGCTAGGCTGGCTGTATGGCAGTCTCACAAGATGGATGGCTATTTGAGGTATGCAGTCAGGCTTGGGCTGGGCTAATCTCAAAGTCCCTGCTCTGGGTTTAAATTGACATGGTAGTGATTCTGTCCTCCTACAGCACATGTACTGTGAGGGTGAGACACACATCACCTGGAGGGCACTGAGGAGCAAGACACTTTTGCCATGGTTTGATGATCAACCCTGAGGAAAGAGAAGAGCAAGTGGTTAAGGGTAGAAGGTCACCAGTGTTCCCCTGGCATTTTGCTGCTACTCATCATACTGTGTGCTTGGCTGATGAGTAAACATCATCTCATAAACCAGCTCATCTGCTTGAGTTACCATTTGCCTTTTTTTGTTGTTTTTGACACCTTCTGAAGATATAAAAGACACTAAGCTATTTTGTTTTCTTAATGCAATATTTTGTAAGAGAATGATACCATAAGTTTAGTACTTTCCTGATTTTGGAAGACAACAGTTAGAATAATGAAAGATAGATACTAAACCTGGAAAGACATGGAGCTGCCATCAAATATGTATCTGGTGTCCAGATAATATCCGGGACTTGCTGTATTTGTGCATTTGAGACAAAAAACTGTCAAATATTAGCATGTTTCATTTCAGCCAGCTACTGCTAGGCCAGCAGTATCGATCCTTCTAAGCTATTGCCACACAAAACCTTTTGCTTACAAAAAGCCTTTAATATTCTTACTGTAGTTTTCTGTCTCTGGCCTTAAGAAGGAGGTATTTGCTATATTCAGTTATCTGAGGTAGGCGTAACAAACTGAGTATTCCAGAGACATTTGAATATCAAGATGAACTTACATTGACAGTTGCCTCACATGATTCCTTCGGATTTTTCTGATGTGAAAATAAGTTAGTAATTAGTACATGAAAACTATTCAGTGGCAGTGGGGGATGAGAAGATGTGTGTTGGCCATGAACAGACTCAGATTTGGGTAGATACATACAAAATCCAGTGTATTAGCAGTGAAAAGACTGGGAAATTAATGTGGTAAATTGTATTCTGTGTATGATTGAAAATTCAGAGTAGGTCTGCAGGGAACACTGAATCATCATAATTCCCTTTTCATGCTTTAACTGATTTGTATAGTCACTGTTCAAATTTCTCATGCATTTGATACAAACCCTAGGCGTTATGATTGATATTAAGTGTAAGATGATATGGAGTTGGTGGCATTTTATTGCTCTGTGACTAATTGAGTTATGCAAATAATTGTATTTCTGCTTCCACAGAGATTAATCTTTCTAACATCAATTCACAGTATTATTTACAGAAGGAAGAAGCGCGGTAAGATGAAAACTTAGTATTCCTTCCAATGTGCTGTCTTAACAGGGCTGTATTTTTCACCCATTGCTTTCATATGAAATCCCATCCAGTTTGTTGACTGGACTTCTTAGGTGTAACAACCAATATGGAAGTTCATGTATCTGATTTTACCACATGGGAGTGAAGAACTGCAGAGGTTGGGCAGCGATGAGCAGCTTTGAGGCAGTCCTGCGTCTAAAACTGCACATTTTCGGGGTTTATCTTTAAGAGGTACTTTAGAAAAGGCTTTACATGAGCTAATAAAACCCTCGAATCATTCCAGAGAAAATGTCAGCAAGAACTTAGACTAGAGTAACTGCTGTAGAGAAAGACGGTACCTCAGCCTTATACTGATGCAGTCTCTTTTTACAGCTGAGTCTGTGGGTTATAAACTGCCTGTGACAAGAGGGAACAGATACCAGGTGTGTTTTTGTTCCCTCAGCAGCATAATTTATAAATTCTTATGGTTATTGACTCTACTAAATGTACTAGTCTCAAAACGTTGGTTTTTTTTTTAACAGCTTTTTAATGAAGTAGGATCTAGTGTGTTCTGCTACTGTCAAATTGAATGCTGCTTCTTATGTTTGTTCTCTGCTTGCAGATTGAGATCATAATTGTTTTTTTTGTTTGTTTGTTTTCTTTTGGAATAAGAGCCAGTACGTTGTGAACTTTCATTACTAGCAGAAGTTATCAAAAAGTATAGGCGCAAAGAAAGCCACTGTTTTGGCTTCACAAACCAAGTGGGTGAATTCTCTCACATTGACCATCTCTATTCTCAGAATTCGCTATCATTTGCTTTCTGGTTCTTACTGGTTTGTACTGGATTAGGGCTATAGCACTGAGATTTTTTTTGCTTTAAAACCAAGAAAGAAAAGTGGTTTGCTTGTTACTTAAAAATGTAAAATTGTCATTTGATGTTGTCGAATTGTGGCATGTTCCCTTTCATACTTTCATCCTTATCCTTTATGCTTGCCTCTTGTTGAATAGCTCACAGTTATAGCCCAACTGTTGGTTTCAGATATGAAGTTTTAATTTGATAGTATTTGCTGGTAGAAACATTTGGGACGAGGCTACTGCTTTTTTGCTTACCTGATTTTTATACCCAATATTGAAAGGCGATAATGGTAGCAATTAGTCACAGTCCTGACAGGATTCATGTATCCCTCTGTTTTACCAGCGTAAGCCTCAATACTACGTGGTGGTTAATTAGGCATGACTTGGAGGAGAGGAGCCAAGCAGCAGAAAGGGTTTGTTTCCACACTGAGTCAAAGTGCAGGGCCTGGAGCTTGTAGCTGTATGACTCAGGCTGCAGAACTGCGTAAGAGAAAGCAAGTATGAAAACAAGCTTGGTGTTGCAAGATGGCTTTGAGATGGTTGTTGGAATAGCAGAGTTGAATTTATAAATGAGAAATTTGCCTTGTTTTTAGACTCATTTATCCAGTATTGGGGGATAGGATTGTGTGTAAAAGTTACTACTGCTGTGGTGAACTTCTAATTGAAATGATATAAAGGCTTCATGTGCTTTCTAAAAATGCCAATGGTCTTTGCAGACACCTGACCATCTGGGACTCCTGAAAACGAAGATAGAGCATTCTACCCAGGCTCTTCCATAAGAGTTCTGGCTATTTGGATCTCAGTATGATGTCCTCCTAATAGAACACTTTCTACGCAGCTTTTCAAGTCCTCTGGTGTCTGCTCTGCAGATCTGCTGCAGACCATCTGTGCTTTTCCACAAGGGGATTTTTGGTTGCTTGAAAGCAGATGGGAAAAGAGAATCTCACCCCCATCCTCCCCCAGCCCCTTCCTTTATGGAATGTGGGTACAGATACATTTTTCTGTATGGGTGGTGAGCGAGGATGTGACAGTAAGGAAGTTGAATGTTCTGGCTGGATGAGGGAATCGCACTGTTGTAAAAATGATAAATCATGACACGTTGTTGCTTTCAAATCGTATATAGGAAAATTAAAGGTCTAAGACTCTACAGTCTTGCATATTTTTTATTTTATGTCTGAAGTGTTTTTCAGAAGTGATTTCGTGGAATTTTTGTTGATATAATTTTAAAAAGCTCTGCTGCTTTCTTGTTGTCTTGGCGTTTACTATCTCATTACTTCCCATTTGCTATCCTTGATTTCTCACTTTCTCTTAAAAAAACTTATATTGGAGCATTTACTTTTGAGTCAGGCTGGAAAATCAACAAGCTCTGCATAACACTTAAGTATCTGAATAGTTTTGCCCTTTCAGTTTTGCTTTCCAATAGCCATTCCTTCCCCTCAGTCTCTTTTCATTGTGATTTTGAGTATAATATGTTTTGTAATGTGGTTTTTACTTCTAGATTTGCAAAGGAAAAAGATGGAGGTACATCTACCAGAAATTCAAAGTGTGCTGGAGCCAGTCAGTGTCTCAGATAATGCCTCTTTGGGGTCCCTAGGTAATGAGAAGACTGATGAAAGACCTGGAATGAAGGACTGCTCAAGCATCAGTTATACTGGAGCTGATGCTGGTTTATTGGAAGGGGAATCCAGGTTGTTGCCCTTGGACCAGGATTCAGCGGCTGTTGGCATGAGCAGCAATGGGGCCCTGGCAGAAAGACTGGAGCAGCAGTGTGGAGGGGCAGACTGCTGTGCGAATGCATGCTCTGATAGAAAGGTAGACGGCTCCACAGAACCAGAACATTTATCTAGTGAAGAATTTGAACAGCAAGATCCCAAAACTAACCAGACGGAACAGTCGTTGATGGAAATATTACAGGAGCTAAGGGAGGAGTCTGACTTTGTGAAAAACTCAAGCGATAAAATCTATTCCGAAAGTCCCTACGACACAGACTGCACAAAGAAGCTCATTTCCACAATCCATCAGACTTCCTCACAGGAGGATTTGCTAAAGGAAATAGAGTCTGAACTCTTATCTACAGATCTTCCGAAGGAGCGAAAATCCCCCAATGGTGTGCGGAAGGGTGAACATGCCTTGGCTGTGTTTGAAAAGTGTGTGCAAGAGAAATACCTGGAGCAAGAACAGACTATAAGAAAGTGAGTATTTGAACATGCTCATCACAATTGGAGTCATGTACTGAACATTTTCGGTTGCATGTTGTGTGCAGCTGCATACAACATCTTGGTATGAACCAAGTAGTCTCTTGTGAGTTGTTACAAAGACAGTTAATGAGCGTTTTTAATTATGTTCTTTAAGTGAGGAATTATTTCTACTTGTGGCATGTGCTTGTAAATACAAATGTGTGCTTAGATCTCTGAATTACTGTGGAATTTGGCAGGGACTGAATAGCCAACTGTTGAGTTGAATAGCCTGCCAATGTCTGGAACTACTCAAATACTGTAAAAGTAAGGGCTATATAAAAATAGTCCAGGATTCATTCAGTCCATGTATGTCTTTGGAGAAATTAATCTTCATAATTACTAGCTCTCACAATGTATATTTTATTTGAGTGTGAAATTGCTTGTTTCTTTTTCAAGTAGTATCCAGTCTCCTGCTATGATACAGCAAAGTTGCTAAGCAGTTCAGAGCTAATCTCTGAGTTGGAGATGTCATACATAGATAAACTACTGTCTTACCACATTTTATAGGGGGGCTTTTGAAATGCGTGGCTGATAAAATTTGCTATAATAAACTGGGCTCAATGGTTCTACCAAGCCGTATACTACATAAAAATATTTATATCAAAGGCAGTTCACTGTTTGATTTCTTCATTACCCGCATGGTGTTTCATATTCTGTTACCCCTTTAGAAGTGTTTTTTGCTAACAAAATGTAGTCTCTAACTCCAAATTTATTTCTGCTTTCAGAGCTGCAAATGAGTGTCCCACTCTTTATATAAGGCTCTGATACCTGGTTTGGGAGGGAAACTAGGCAGAGAGATGCCCACTAGAAAAAGCACCTCAGCAGTTAACCTCTGACAGAAATCATAAATGTGAGAGGAAAGTTGATGACAAGAAAGCTTGGGAGTACCTAGTTAAACATTCAGTAATTACAGAGGAGGAGGAGTGGGAATCTGAAGTGGTGGGTGTGTAGATGGTTGTAATTCCGGGAGATCATAAATTTAGAAGTTATCTGGGTTTTAATTGTTTACAGTAAACTCAAAGGCAGGTCAGTGTTGTTGGCCATGGACCAGTTACTTTCTTAAAGACATGCATGTATTATGTACACCTACAGACAGTTTTACATATAAACATGTCTTTGGTCTCTCTTTTTGCCAGCTGCCCCAGCTGTACCCCTTTGACTCTTGGGGACTCACCTCAAGAGTGTTAAAACTGCTGTGGAACATTTTATGTTTGGTCCAAAGGGCATTCTGGGTTGGATTGATTTTGTCCCTTAGTTCATGATTAGCAGAATTGCTTGTTGTGTTGCTTTGGCAGTAGCCCAGTGGTCAGATCTAGGACATATAGCTGAGCAGCAATTGTGTGAATGAAGAATTTGCAGTCCTGGAATAGTCATTAATAGATTAAAAACCAGATCAGAAGTGCTAAGCTTTCCTGCACTGATGATTTTGAATTCCTTGTAATTCAGTAGACTAATTTCTTCAGTGAATTTTTTCAAAGGAGGTAAGCTAGAGGTGGAAGTGTATGTGTAAAGGGATGTTTAAATATCTTGGTTAGGTAAATGCATGCTTCCCACAAATTCATGCAGTTAGTGGCCTAAAATATCCATCATCTAGCTGTATCTTCAAACATCTAAATATATTTGAGACTCTCTTTGTTCAGCAGTCTGACATTATAACGTCTGAGTTTTGGGTGTAGCTATCTTTTATTGCAGTGCTAGGTCAGACTAAATATGTCAGCTTCAGCTCAGGCTCTAAACAGTTCAGCTGCAAAGGAACAAACTACTGCTCAATAAACCTGAACTTTATAAGGAGCATGAGCATGAATGCTATTGTAGTAGTTACATACTTACTAGTACTGGAAAAAGCAGGGTTGTGTCTCTTACCAGGTTGTGAACTTCAAGGGCTGTATTAAATGAATACAGTATCTGTGTTTCCAGACATCTGACTGTCAGAGCTGGAAGCTACTGTCTTATGACTACCTGAAAATTATTAACATTTGCAGTTCTGTAGCTGCATAGAGGTACCAGATGTCTTATGTTATCATGTGCCATGTAATCTCAAAATGCTGGAAACAAGCAATTTCCTCACAAAGAAGATGCTGGTTTGGAATTGTCACAAGCACAATGTAGTTCTGATTTGGTTTTGTAAGGCTGTCCTGGATTTCACTAGTATTTCTGGCTGTGACTCCCAATAGAATTTGCAGATCAAAGAGCAAAATCTCAAAACTAAACCCAACCAAACACCCCCCCCCCCAGTAATGATGTACCTTGTTTTATTTGTTTTTCTTTACAGATTGATTAAAGAAAATAAAAAACATCAAGAACTTATTTTAGAAATCTGCTCAGAAAAGGAGAACTTAAAAGATGAATTGAAAAAACGAACAGAAACAGAAAAGCAGCACCTCAACATTATTAAACAGGTACAGATAATAAACCAGAAGCGCTGTTTAGTGTCAGACTTGTATACAGTGTTAAACAGTGGCAATAGTGACAAGACATCCTTGGTGGCATAGAGAAGGAGAGAATGCCTGTGCTTATTATGCTAAACTTAAGGGGGTAAATCTGCTCTTCCATTCCAAGAAATATTCTTTGTCTAAAAGCAGATAGTGTCTTTGGATAAATTGACTTTCTACATTCACTTCACTTAAATATTCTGTTTCTGCAAGTCTCTCTTCAAGTCAAGAGAGTTCCCATTTCATGGGTTGCCCTCAAAGGTGAGTCTTGTGTACCTTGGCTTTCTGCTGGAGAAAGTGTCTGTTGAAGGCTGTGTCATTTTACAGAGAATGATGCATTCAATCTTTCATCCTGATGGGATGATTTATTTCTTGTATGTAGGCTTAAAGGAGGTCTTAATTTGTCATCTTTATCTTCTGTTAACTCCTATATCTGCTAATAGAAGTGGCTGGAGGTGTAGTTACAGCAGTTAACAATATGTGGAAAGTGTATAAAGAGTAGAGCATATTAACTGTGGTCTTTGCATGTTATTTTGGTATTTTCAGTTACTGTACACAAGCATTTCCCTAGTGAATTGTTAGAACCATGACAGGTCAAAGAGGAACATAGAGCGTGCATTGGTGTAGGCTGTTATTAGTATGGGAAGGAAGGTATCAGATGTCATTGCTTGTTTGATATAAAGTTATATGCTAATGTTCCTACAGTTTGTTGCCCAGCTTCATACACTGATTACAGCTTGGGAATCTGCCAGGAGAGAACATTTAGAATACTAATTTGTCAAAGTACTGCTGATACTACCCCACTTGTCAGGTTTCTCTGTTAGTGTCTGCATTGCGCAGAAATCTGTTCCCAAAGCAGTGTATTGGGCTAGTAGTGCTGCTGAGGAATGTTCATGTATGTAAAAGCTTAGTCTGTCTTTTGTTAATGTCAAAGAATCTTCAAAATCCATGATGTGATTGAAAATGGAATTGAAAAGTCTTGTTTTTAAGCTGCAAACTGGAATTGCATATGCCTGAATATAAATCAGTATGAGAAGCTTACTCATTCTCTCTTGTCTGTGTTTCCATGATAGCTTCATGAAATCATACAGTGCTGTATCATGCAACAATTGCTTTATCCCATTTGGGGGGGGGGAACAAATTGTAAGGGAGTTTGCTTTGCTTTCTGGTTGGATAAGTAGGATGGTAGGATTTGTGATATTACATGCTTCCAAGTAATATCAGAAAATACCAGTATGGATAACTGTAGTTGGGTAGCACCTGAAGTTGTAAGAGACATCACAGTAAAACACTTGAAGTTTCTTCATTTGTGATGTGTTTTATTGTTACAATTTGTGGATTAGTGTGTTCTGCTGGCTTTCAAGTCAATGAAAGCTTGGCTGCGCTCACAGCCATAAGCAAACCATAAAGACGTGCTTGTACACGTAAACCTTTTGGTATGGGTAGTGATTCATTTGCAGAGCTGAAGAGGGTGTGATCAATTTATTGTGTGGTAACAGAAACATTTGAGGTTTTGCTTCCCTTTTATTCTTCCAGCAGTTCAGAGTAGCCCAAAAATGTAAGATACGGACCCTGTGCTTCTTACACCTCACGCCAACCCCAAAACCAAGCCAACTTAACTGTGGTGACTTGGCTTCCCCTGGAGCAAGCAGATAGTCATTAAGGCACAATTTGAACAGCCTTTGGACAGTTATTACAGCTTATGTTCACAACTTGCTCTTGGGCTGCTGCCGCTTGTACTGGACTTGCCTAGCTGTGCAGTGAACATGCACTGGACGTGTTCCAATTGAACACTGGTAATTATTCTTCAGCTGGATCACTGACTTGCTTCACTAGGTGGTTAAAAATGTGCCAGCACAATGACTAAGCACCTCTCTATTTGCTGGGTTATTTTTCAAAGATTTAATTCCCAGTTCAGTTTGAATGCATGACTGCTTTGCTGGCATGGTGGAGGATATGGCACAGGGATAGCAGCAAAAGGGTGTGGAAGGTGAGGCAGCTTCAGAGAGCAGCCAGCTCTACTCTGGCATCTCAGCATTTTCCTGTCAATTTAACTTTTTGTGTAGTAAATTACTATGCCTCATGTTTTACTTGACTTGATGCATCTTCAGTCTTGCTGAAGATGAGAATTGACATCTTTCACGCTCATACTGTAATGCAAAGCTAGGTGTCAATATGGATAGTTGCAGCTTGACAAGTGTAAAATACATGTAAATATCTGTTGAAGCTTCTAATGTTGTGCAAAATTTTCTTGCCTGTATGAAACACAATTAAAGTCTTATTTTCCCTATAATTATATGATGATCTGTTTCAGCTGGAAGCGAGAATGGAAGAGCTTAATAAAGAATTGAAAGCTAGTAAAGACAAACTTGTAACTCAAGATGCAGCAGCCAAAAATGCTATTCAGCAGTTGCATAAAGAGATGGCCTTTCGAATGGAACAGGTAATATGGAAAACCTTTAATTGTTGAAATCATCTTATGAACAACCTTAGTTCTGGTAGGAAAAATGTAGCCTCAGTTGTTAGATAACTGGGTAAGGCAGGATGTTCCAAAATGGGAGCTACCAGCATGAAGTTATGTATGCTTTTTTGGTAAGTGTCATCAGTGAATTTCTAAATAGCTGTTAACATTTTAGGGTGCCTGATAACTGTTTTTAATGTGTATATTTATCTGTATGGAATTGGGCTCTTGAGGCAATCTCATTTTTTTTGCCTATAAGCTGATCCTGCTTCAGAAAGAAGTTAAAAAAGGCTGGGAGTGGCTTTTTCAGTCAGGATATCATGAAATTAATATTTTTCTTGGCTCCAGCACAAAGCTTTTATTTTGTATTACTGAAAACGGATTATTTTTTTCACTTCTTAGTATCATATTATGCCAAGTGTTTTCTCTGTTGTGTGAATTCTAAAGCTATATTTGATTTTTTTTTTGTTATTTTTATGTAATTTGAAGCAGAATTTGTTAGGTGTGGGGTGAGGGGAATCTGCAGAAATAAGACACTGTATATTGATTGTGCAGTTGGCATGTGGGTGAGGGAAGGCAGAGGAGTAGCACTGGTATTTGCAAAATTATTTTGTCACTGAATCTTACCAAATACACTTGTTTCCTTCTGAAACAACAAATTATATTCCAAGTTACTAATATATTGATATCGCATTTGAGATGTTTGGCTGTGAAGCTGCAGCTGCTTAGATACAGATTTACTGTTAGAAGTATGAGTAATTGCAGTACTTAAGTGGGATATAATGTTAGTCTTTGCAGAGCTGGACCTTTTGACTCCTACTCTGATACTATACTGTGATACTGAAAATATCCAGTAATGTCCTATGAAGGCTAATTATGAAATACAGGATTGATTCCTTCTGTCTTCATATTTTTAAGGCAAACAAGAAGTGTGAAGAAGCACGCCATGAGAAAGAAACAATGGTGATGAAGTACGTCCGAGGGGAGAAGGAGTCGCTTGATCTCCGAAAGGAAAAGGAGACACTTGAGAGAAGAGTGAGAGATGCAAACAAAGAGATAGAAAAGCATACTAATAAAATCAAACAGCTTTCTCAGGAAAAAGGAAGGTTGCACCAGCTCTATGAAACGAAGGTACTCTAAGCTGTGTGACTTGAGTGAATGATTAAAAGCACTATCAGAACAAGCTTATCACTTGTTTGCTGTTGGTGGAAGAAACCTCTTTTCTTTCAGTTTGGCTGTACTACTGTGAAAAAACCCTTTTCTTCAAGGGAAGGAGAGGAAGTTACTGAGTTCTCATTGCCTTTTTGAAGTTCCTTTTCATATTTCCTTGAATATTAGTTTGTGAAGCATGAGGGCTTTTTTCTTTAACTGAAAAAACTGCTTGTTGCAAATGCCTGGATTTTGAGGGAATTTCTAGCTTGGTTGGATTTATTTTAAGATTGTAATGACATTAAATTCTTGCAGTCTCTTGCTGGTTTTGTGTGGTTTTGCTCTGCATTTTCTGTGGTACTAGAAATTAGTAATAAAATAATAGGATTTTTCAGGCTCAATTCAAATAATCTGCCATTCTTTTTTTTAGAAGCTGGTAAGAGATTTCCACCAGCCTCTTAAATTTTCCAGGTCTTCTTTTGTTCTGCTTCATAATTCTATTTCATATGAAAGACCAGAAAATGGGTAGTAAGGCTCAAACCTTGTTTTGGCCCTCTTCTGAGCAATTGTACTATGCACAGAAGGGTCAGAAAAATACATCATAATTCTAAAAGTTAATGTTTCCATTAACCACCATTCACTACAGCATCCTGTCTCACATGAACAGGAAGCAGGAGTGTGAGTTCAGGTTTTCTAAACAAAACGTAATATACTCTGTCTCCTGAGGATTACACTAAAGCCTTATAGGACTTGTGCTGCCCTCATATGGTGCTGCTTTAAACTTCTTTTGTAAGATGAGCCTATTGCTTCAGAAACACAGAATGGAAGTTTGGTTTAATGCACTGGTTTACGGATGTTAGTGGAGAAGGTTACACTAGGAGTATGCATGTGTTTACATCCTTCTTGGGACAGGTTAGTGATTTGACTTGCATATCATAGAAACATAGAATGGTTTGTGTTGGAAAGGACCTTAAAGCTCATCTAGTTCCAACCCCTGCCATGGGCAGGGATCTATTCTACTATACCAGGTACGTTTTGCTCACGCCAGGTGCTCACACTGGTTTGCACCTCTTTAGTTAGTATTACCATTCCATTAGTGACACTATTATTTTTCTGTAGCTTTGTATAATATATGATTTTACCACTTCACACCTGTGATTTCTCATCCTTTTACCAAAAAAGAACAAAAATAGGGCCATGCAGCTTACACAGGAGATACTTATTTTAGATTGGAACACTATGCCATACTTTGACTTTTAAAACAAATATGTAACATTGATGTATACAATGAATATATAGTCTTACCTTGCTATTCAAACCAGAACACTAATGGGCTTTTTTCCAGTGTATTATGGACTAAAGCATTATTGACTGCTCTCAAGAATGTGCATGCTTTTGTAAAATCCAGACATTTAAGGAAAATAAAACCCTGCATTTGACACTTGAGCAGGAGACTTGTTGTAGAAGTACTGGATGATTTAATGGCTAAAATAAAATCCATGACATTTTCACAGGATGGTGAAGCCACTCGACTCAACAGAGAAATAGAAAAATTGAAAGAAGAAATTAATTCTCACGTTATCAAAGTCAAATGGGCTCAGAACAAATTGAAAACAGAAATGGATTCACACAAGGTTAGTGAAGTGGTGCTGATACCATGACGTGAAAATGTAGTCAGAGGAATGTAGTTACTATACTGTGTGTGTATTACTAAAATCTGTTTTTAAAGTGGGTTTTGTTTAATATGAATGCCTGCAGCTAAAGCCAGAACAGTGGTTTTAAAGATACTGATACTGAGATGGAAATGTTGAAAAGAGGTGAGAGGAGGATGTGTGGGGGAATTCTGTTTAATCTGGTGATGAACTTTTAATTTGGGGGTGTTTTTGTGTTTTGTTAATTAACCGTCAGCTTAGTTTTTATGTGATGTTAAATCTGTCATCCGAAAATGTTCATGGCACGTAACCAGGAGATGCTTTTGTTGTGCTTTCAGTGTTGGAACAAACAAAATTGCATGAAGTAATAGTTGAATGGAGGCAAGATGAAAAATAATGCCAGATGGGGTTTTTTATTGTTATTTTGTTAATTCTTTCCTGACTGAAATAGGAAGCTTGTATTAGGAAAAATGCTTTTCCCAGATAAAGGTAGATAAATAGGTTTAACCCATTATTTTCTCCTGTTTTTATAGGAAACCAAAGAACGTCTCAAAGATGCAATGACAAAATTAACTGAAGCAAAAGAAGAAGCAGACCAGATCAGGAAAAACTGTCAAGAAATGATAAAAACTTATCAGGTAGGCATGTGTTCTTAGGAGGTGAAATTAGTGTTTAGCGTTTGAGTCTTCTTTATTCCTCCGTTTCTGTCTTAAGCTGTATCGGGAAGAATTATCTCGTGTAAGCTGAAAAGCTGAGATGACTAGTCACTGGTTCCTTTACTTGGAAAGTTGTTAAATGGAAGGGAGAATGGTTCTCTTGATTGACGTGCAATGGTCTTGCTTGGCACGTTCACATTCTTATATGTGATGTGAAAAGCTGTGTATATGCTCAGAAAACCAGAAAGGGGAATGTGAAACTCTCAAAATCTGCTTATGTCCTTTTAGGAGTCAGAAGAAATTAAGTCAAATGAATTGGATGCAAAACTCCGAGTAACTAGAGGAGAACTAGAGAAACAAATTCAGGAGAAGTCTGATCATCTGGAGGTAAGTATGTGGTGTGGGGAGGCAAGTTGGCAACTTAGTAGTTAAGAATGCCATGAATTTTTAATGTTGAAAATCTTATTTTAAGCTGCTTACAATTTTTGGCCTTATATTTCATCCTACACTACTATACTTACATCCTAAGTGTTTGCCTCCAGCTCTGCTTTTTGGAGGATTTTTTCAATTATCTTAGATTTGTGTATTAAAAATGAAGTTATGGGAAACGTATGATATGGTGAGGATGAAATAACTGCATTTTGATTTATAAACATGAGTGTTGCTGTAATTTGGAGTACAAATTCAAATGACAGGCAGGCCTTTCTCTGACTGGTATTTGACCAAGCTGTGTGGCAAGGAGAGACAGCCTTTGTTCTGTGTAGAAATTTGCTAGCCCAGAAGCTGAATTCTCTAATCATGTAGTACCTGCTCACAGCTCAGATGTGCATATGCTGTCTTCAGAGTTAACCAAGTGCCTAGAACTTTCCTCGGTGGCTGTTGTGGCATAGATTTGTACACCTAAAACCAGAGTCTGTAATCTCACTTTTGTTCTCATTTCTTTTGAGAATAAAGCAGCTTTTAGGCTTTGCTTTTTGAATAAGTAAAACAAACCTTTAGGGTACCTGTTCTGCCTCAAGTCCTTTCAGCTGTTCTGGCCTGCATTGGCCTGGATATTTTTGAGATGCCACTGTCCATTTAGATTTCACAAGGAGCTTCTCACTCTTTAAAAAGGTGCATCATGCTAAAATAAAAGAACTGGAAGACTTGAAGAGAACATTTAAAGAAGGCATGGATGAGCTTCGAACGCTGAGAACAAAGGTAATGTGTGCTGTGTTGGGTTACAGTGGGGCTGAAGGCATACTTCTTTTGGAATAAGTGGTGTGACTAGATGGGCTGACTTGAGACTAGTAGTAGTATGTAACTGTTGACTCTGGGTAGCCTTTCTCAGGATGTTTCAATTGATCCGTAGTACAAAGTGTTGTTTCATGGTACATACCTTGTTTGACTGAAAAGTGGGGAGGAACATTTTTGTAGACATCCAGTAAATTTAGTAACTTTGGAAAAGGAAAACAATACTTGTAAACTCTTCCCACCTGTGAAGCCAGTTCTGCAGAGTACATGCGACCTCTGGTAAGGAGTATATGCTATCCATAACTTCTGAACAGTCAATAGATTAATGTGCAAGTCCCTCCTTCCAGAGCAGGGATTTGGCTCAAAAGGATCTTAGAAAAAAGGATGAAGACATAATATGGGGTTGGTCTGGTAACTGGGGAAAAATGATGTCTTTGTGTCGCTGTCCATTAGACTGATAAGTTTGAGGGTCTGGACAAAATTAATGTTACTCACACTTGTTTAATTTGGTTATTTTTTCCTTTTTCTCTTTTGTGTCTGTTTTAATCAAAAATACTTCTAAAATGTTCTAAGCTTGGCTTGGAGCCACCAAAAATGACACAAGAGCTTTGTATAACAATTTAGACATTTGATCAGAATGATTCAGTTCTGAAGTTTGGGAGAATAAATAGCTTCTGATTTATTGTTATGTTTTTCTTCTATTTAGGTAAAGTGTCTGGAGGATGAGCGCTTAAGAACAGAAGATGAGTTATCCAAGTATAAAGAAATCATTAATAGGCAGAAAAGTGAAATTCAGAATTTGCTGGACAAAGTGAAAACTGTGGATCGGCTGCAAGATCAGCATCAGAGGTACAGCTGTGCACTTTGGGAAATGGCTTAAAAGATTGTCTGGGATATGGAAAGTTTTTGCTTACTGAAATTATTTATGCTTTGATTTGAACTTTGATTTGAATAATCCATGTCCTAGTGTAAGTGTTTTTTCTAATCTAAATCAATATTGTTAGTACTGGAGATAACCTTGGCAGCCTCTTTATTAGACAAGAGGATTAAGACTAATAAATCTAATTTAATGTCTGTCTTTATTACATTAAGTGCTTGCTTTCTGGCACACACTATAGGAAGTTAAGTCTAGCCCAGTGCTTGGTTTATTAAAAGACTGGGAAAAAGCAGCTAAACTGGAAAGATAAATTTCTTCAAAATTGTGGTGGATGAATGAAAGCATTTCACAAAAACAATTTTTTGTATTTGCTCTTTTGCAACATAAATGGCTGAAATAAATCAATGCCGTAGTTGTTCAGTTTTAAGTCTTCCGAAATGTGGAATTAGCCTAAAAAATCCTGAAGGCAGGGTGCAGTACATCTGATGTCATCCTTTGGTAGTCCAATGCTAGCTGACTTCTGTCATCAACCACACAAACTCCTCGTTCTTGTAGCTGGAAGCATATAACATACAGCAGTAAAGTTCTAGCAGAATTCAGTTACTTAGTTTTGCTAAATTATAGTTCATTTTCAGAATTATTAATGATTGAGATTGCCTGAGCCTCACCTCTACTTGAAGAAACATGTTGAGATGAGATTTAAATTTGAATATATACAGTCCATGTGAGAGAAGTGAGAGGTTTTTCTGCTGCTGTTGGAAGATAAGGTTTTAGAATGATGTGGGAAATCCTATGATTGAACAAGTATGAAATAATATTGTAAGAGCAAATGAGAGGAGGAAGTTTTTAGTCTGTAACTTTAACAGCTGTTTAATTTTGGAATTAATTTCACTCACTGAAAGATAGGCTGTATTGTCAGTTACAGTTCTTTCTCAAATGGATTGCAAGTGATAAAGTGTCTCCTAATGGGAGTGCTTCAGTAGAAACAAGAGCTGTTTTGTAGAGGGATAGTGGAGTGAGACAGTCCTTTGAATAGAGCTGCACTGTTTGGAAAAGGATGCTTGAGAAGTCACTGTACCACTGTCCTGGAGAAGCACAAAGCTGGAGTATTTCCCCATCTCTTAAAGACAAGTCCTCTTATGGAATGACTACCTTTGGGTTTGCAGACCTTCCTTTTACCTACAGAATGTTGTTTTGAAGGTTTTGCTTATACTCTATACTGAAGCTTATGAAGTGAAATACAGAGAAACTGTCTTCCTTGAGGAGGCAAATGACTACACATTATTCTGTGGGATACAGATATCCGTCACATGTCATGAAATGAAATCTGCAAAGTCCCTTGGCATTTACAATGATCCCGTGACAAACAGATGGCCCAGCATCATTATTTCTGTGTCTTATTTGGTCTTGACCTAAATGCTTTTATTTCAGCAAAGTTTTGTATCCTTAAGCTCAGGCTGTCCCTAATGAGATACAATTGTTTTGACAGAGATGAACAAGAAATCAGTGCTTTAAAGGAGGAAATAGATGGTTTCAATTCTCTGATTGCTGATCTTCAGAAGGACATTGAAGGTAGTCGGAAAAGAGAATCTGAGCTATTGATATTCACTGAAAAATTAACCAGTAAGAATGCACAGCTTCAGTCTGAAAACAATTCCTTACAGAGCCAGGTGGATAAGCTTTCTTACAGTGAAAGAGAGCTGCAGAATCAACTGGAATGTGTTCAACAGACTAAGGATGATCTGGTGAGTACAGCATGCAGCTTGTTTTTTGCACTAATAAGATGTCTGATACCGATAAAAGAGACTGACACCTTGTGTCTTTACTTACCTGACCACAATTACTCACCGAGTTTGCCAGTTGGGTAGAATAATAGCAGTGGGATGTGAACACCTTGTTTCCTAGGGGAAAAGAAATCCTGAGGCGCGCTGCACTGGAATGAGGGGGTGTTACTGTGGTTCTCTTTCTCTCTGTCTTGGAATACAGAGTTGTTATCTTGTGCAGCTGTCATTGAAACAATCAAAATGTAATTTCAGGAACTTATCACTGTGAACTGTTTCTTAGGTCAAATTTGTACTATGAGATAAATGTAATTTTTAGTAAACTCAGTGTGTCATGGAGTGTAATGTGACTGCACTGTACAGCTCTCTACAGCCATGCAGATCTGTAGAAGGAAGACTCCTTAACTACCTCAAAAACATTTGCATAATGTACTGTATCATGCAGTACAAAATAGCTCAGGAGTCTTCCTGCAGCATTGCACGGTGCTGCATATCCTTTTGCAGTGATAATCTTTAGCCTAAATAATAAATGTAAAATGTGAATGATTCTGAGGTGAAAAGTGCAGAATTAGAGCTTTGTATGGTTAAGCTGGAGCTTTTTTTTGTATATGACTGAAAAATAAAACTGCAATTTCAGGCCACCAGGTTACAGAAGGAGCAGGATCAGCGAAAGCTGGAGGTTGAGACACTACAGGCTCAACTGGCTTCAGAGCAGAAAGAACTAGCAGCACTGAAGACCCACGTGGATGAACTGAAAGATGAACTGGCTACCCAGAAGCGCAAGCATGCAGCAAACCTGAAAGATCTTGCAAAACAACTTCAGCTAGGTTGGAATTATTCTTGGTTATAATGAATCAGTTCCCTCTGTAGCCCACTACAGTGTCTGGTAGAGATGAGGGTCCTGTCTGTGTAGTTTGAGTGTGGCACGTCAAGCTCTCCCTGTTTCTAAAGACAGTGAGAGTGAGTGAACAAGTTAAATCTTGTAGAGCAGAAACTGCAGTTCAGGAAACAATCCTTAGTGCCAATTTTCAGTCTTAAATGCAACGTCTGAAATTGGTGTAGATATAAAATGAAATATTTGTTTTCAGTAGAGCTTGGTCTTTGTTATCACATACATGACTACAGAAATGTCACTGTGGGTATATTTGGATCCTGGTCTGTGTAGGAGTACATTCAGAAGTTGCTAGAAGTTTCTTACTTCCTGTGACTGTATCAGGAATTGCTGGTGACAGTTCAATTTTTTTTTTAGTATATTTAACAGGTTTTTAAAAATAGATATGGAGAGACTGATGACTAATTCTGTCAACAAATAGAAGTCATTAAATACCCAATAATACATATGCTCTGAATGCAAATAGATTTGAATATCAAAGCCTTGCACAATGCCAAGAGGATCTCTTCTCTGAAATAGTTCCTCAAAAGAGTTCCATATCTCTTCCTGTACATAAATGAACAGTTCTGCACTTTCCCTCTTCATCCCTGATGAACTGAGTGGTTCTTCTGGCACAAGTGCTACACTCAGTTCCCAGTAGTGGTATAGTTGAGAGATCTTAGAACAGAGTTGCCATTCTGCCATTCATCAGTTATTTACATGGCGGTCCTATTCAAAAGTAAAATCAAATTTAAATCTTACGGTTCCCAGTTAATCCTATGGATGACAGCTTCAACTAACAACTGCTGCAGGGTATAGGGGTCATTGTGGATGTCGCATCCAGGTGCTTCATGGTTGAGGCAGGGAGAGGAGCTGCTTGGTGGGTTTTCTGAGTTGCTACCTTTACCTTTTAGTTGTCAAGCCCTGTTAAATCAGTGCAGATCAGAGACAACTCGAGGTTTTGTATAGTGGGTGACACTGATACTTGGGTTTTATTCTGCTGTTGTTAACCATCATTTTGTTAAACTTTTAGCACGGAGGAAATTGGATCAGATGGAAAATGGTAATTATGACAAAGAAGTCAGCAGCATGGGGAGCCGTTCCAGTTCATCAGGTAATATAGCACATAGCAGGGCTGCCAAAGCAATCCTTTCATCTTAATATGGTTGCCATGGCATGCTGCCCCAAGCCTTGCTCTTTCTGTGCTTGTGCAGCATCCCAGTAAAGCTGACAAAATAGCCTTTAAGCAACAACAGGCACTTGGCCGAATGCAGTTGTAGGCTCTTACTCGTATTATGAGATTGAAGTTTAGTGTTTATAATGTTTGTGTTCTTGTTCTTTTTCAGTGCCTACCTTTTTTACTTTGTTGCTTTTATGTTCAGAGGGCTCCAGTTTATAGAGGACCCTCATGCATACTGCCAGAGGCAAAGCAAAGATGAGCAATGGCTTCCAACCTTGTTTAATTGCACTATTTACAGTTGCAACTGTGTAAATGAGAAATCAATTGACATGTTTGGAGGCATCAGTGTATCTGTGTCAAGTTCATTACTTTCTATCCAGTTAGAAGTGGTTATCTTTAGGGTAGCAAACAACATCTGTTTTCTTCCCCAATATCTTTGGGTTTTAAGTTGGGTTAGTTGTGTCCAAGTGTCCTGTAATCTCAACTGTATGAGAGAGGGAAGTACTTAGAAGAAGACAAAGAAAGTAAGATACTTCAAGCTCTAAGTGATCAGTTTTGCATAGTGTTTATATAAAGGGCTTTTTTCAGTCTGCATGGTTTTCATAGTGCTGCAATTTTAGCAACCAAAACATAGAATCAACTAGATTGGACAAGATCTTTAAGATCACCAAGTCCAGCCATTACCCCAGCACTGCCAGATCCACCACTAAACCATGTCACTGAGGGCCTCATCTACATGGTTTTTTGAATACTTCCAGACACAGTGATTCCACCACTTCCCTGGGCAGTTTGTTCTAATGCCTTATCACCCCCTCTGTGAAAAAGTTTTTTCTAATATCCAGTCTAAACATGTATGCTTAAAATCAGCTCAGGTTTGTACAAAGCAATATTAATGAACATGAGGATATTTGTGCAGGAATAAGTATTACTGAAGCAAGCACACTTATGCTAAAGGAGCTATGCCAGTGTTAGGGGACTGTATTGCTGACTGCATGTAGCACTTAAATGTTAAGGACTGTTTATATAAAACCTCACTAACATATAAGGGAAACTGACATTCTGAAGGAAGCATTTTAAGCTTCCGAAATGTAATGAATTCATACACTGCACTGATAGAGATATTTTGCCTGGTATGAAAGCAAAAAGAGCTTTTACAAATACAAATGTATTGGCAGGGTCCCTGAATGCGCGCAGCAGCAATGAGGATCGGTCGCCTGAGAATACTGGATCTTCAGTAGCTGTGGATAGTTTCCCAGAGGTGGACAAGGCTGTCTTGGTTGAAAGAATACTAAGGCTGCAGAAGGCACATGCTCGAAAGAATGAGAAGATGGAGTTTATGGAGGATCACATTAAACAGCTGGTGGAGGAAATCAGGAAAAAAACAAAGTATGTTCTGAGTCCTGTTAATACAGTTTTTCAGTGTTGAGCTGGTGCATTAGACAAGTATTCTGGATTTTATCTAAGACAAGTAATGGAATGGAAATATTTAAAGCAATAAAAATATTGCAGTGTTAGTAGATCTTAAAGGTAAGATTAGTCTTGAGGTATTTTTGATTATCTTTTCCCAGCAGTTACAGTAATTACCTATTTGTCTATTACTATGTGTTTTCAGGAGGAATAGACTGGTGCAAGTGGGTTTTTTCGGTAGCAAAGTGGTCACCAGGTGCCTGATTTGAAGTGGACTGCTGCCACTGGCTAACAGGAGAGTCTGTTCTTTTCATGTGTTTAAAAGGGTGCTGATTGTGCCTGTTTTGGAAGGAGAATCTGCGTAATTCCAGATGGTAGTCTGGCATGCCTGTCAAACAGTGCATCTGAGTCTAAAGGGGTCAGGATTTAACATGAAACAAGATTCCACTTACATGGAAGTCTCTTCTTACAGAATCTCATCTTCTGGAACTTCATTTAGGAGGGGAAGAAACTGTGGCATACACCTTCCTCTGGAAAGTCCAGTTACATGTTAAGTATAGCTCTTCCTTAAGAAGCCTATGCATTTATGCCCATCTGGTGCCATTTAATAAACATGATCACAGCTCATGAAGGTTCTTGAGCAGAAACTTGTCTCATCTGTAGAAGGCTTAAGATTCCCTGTCCAGAGTCTTTCAGCAAAGTAAAGGCATTTTTTGCTCCAGTAGCAATATTACTTCCTCAGAATACTTTTAAATATGTAAACTTTGTGTATTGTAGTGAGTCAGCTTACCAGCACCTCCTATTTTGGTGTCCCAGGTTTTCCCTGGCCTAGAAATCGCGGGAGTTGATTTTTACTGTCTTATTCTACCAGGAACTTATTCTACACTGCTTCAGTGTCTGATTTTCATTGCCTTGTAATGCTGGGATTTTCCTTTCAAATTTTTTCCCTCCCCCCCCCAGAATTATTCAGAGCTACATTTTGCGGGAAGAAGCTGGAACACTGTCATCAGAGGCCTCTGACTTCAACAAAGTACACTTGAGTAGACGCGGCGGGATTATGGCATCTCTGTATACATCGCATCCTGCAGATAGTGGTCTCACCTTGGAACTCTCCTTAGAGATAAACAGGAAGCTACAGGCTGTGTTAGAAGATACGTTACTGAAAAATATTACATTGAAAGTGAGTAGCTATGCCAGTTATCCCACACATTCTTGGAGTTCTGAGATACTGCCTTCAAAGAGATACATGCTGTTAAAAAGAGGTGGTTTTTCAGAGCCATATCACTGTGAATTGGTGCTGCTGGTAGCATTGGGTTAAGATTAAGTTAACATAATTCATGCTGAACGTCTAGTTTGGGACCCTTGTAGTTTGCTGCACTAATGAGTTGCTTCTTGAAACAAATTGTAGGCTGCCTGTGCAGGAAGGGGTCTTTCCATACTTTCCCTTAGTGAAATGGAGCCAGGGGCACAGTCTACATGCCTGGCCCTGTGCCCTGTTCAGCTACTGGGGCAGTGTGTCTGCTGCAAGGGAAAGAATGGCAGGCTGGGAAATGTTGTGCAGGCTGCCAGCTGGACTGCAGTGTTCTGCAGGAGTTGGAAATCTCTTCCTATAATCATCATTTCCCTTAAATACTATACTTTCTAGACAGCTTGTAGAATATTAGTAACTGCAAAAAAAGACCTGCTGAGAGCTTTGCATCCTTTATTGAAATGAGCTTGGTTTTCTCCAGCTTGTCTAATCATTTGTGCTTGTTCTGGATACTTGAAAGTAACAGCCTGCTGACATATAAACAGTAATTTTAACTTCTTGGGGCATTTTGTGCTGACTCACTTTCCCTGTATAACTTATCCTATCTTTTTTTTTTTTTCCACCCCCAAAGGAAAACCTTCAAACTCTAGGAACAGAAATAGAACGGCTTATTAAACACAAGCATGAACTGGAACAGAGAATAAAGCAGACGTAACTAAAACTTCTGCGGAATAACCAACATGAAGATGCAGAAAAGGCAGGTGCGACACACCACTCTTTTTTACATTTTCCCTGGAACTTGATGGCCTGCCAGCACAAGCATCTGCTATTTTGCATATACAACCTTTAACCCTCCAGGCTAACTCATGTGAGAGATCTACAGGGTTTGACATCAGCATGGTTCTGTTTCCCCAGTACCAGCCTGAGGTGTTGCTGACTTTCACTACACACTACATTTATCTAACCCTTTTGTTGGCAATGCCATACAGATGCTTTGCAGTGCATACTGTGTTTTGAGTGAGTTGCAGTAAGATTTTAATTCTTGCACTGTATAATGAATCAGTCTCTTAATGACAGAGCTTGAAAAAATAAAACCAATTATGTCTTAGTTGCTGTGGAACATATCCAGTGTTACTGAGCTTTAAGGGCTTTCAGACATCATTTCCTTTCTTGCATATTTCTGATATTTAGGTTGATGAAGCATTTCTGACATTCGCATGGAAAAACGCTTTGTCACAAAGCTTTGTTTTTAAATGGTGGCCATGATATTGCATATTTTCCGCTTTAGATTAACATTCAGCTGGTCAATTTCTTTAGTCAAGAGAAGTGAAACTATGGGATTAAGCAACTTTCTGAATCCTTTGAGTGTGTGTAATTGAAACAAATGTCACTTTGACAAATCCTGTAAATTAGACACATTGATCTAAAGAAGTCTGATAGTAGATAGCTGGTTAATGAAGTTCTCTGGCTTTCTGCATAACTAACAGTATTTAAAAAGTAGGAGCTTTAACTGCCCACTTGTATGTGTGTACAGGCAGCCATCATGATTGCATTTGTTTATAGAGACAAATGGAAGCTAACTAAATTTTCTGGTTAGACCAGCCAGTGAAAGTAATGGTAAGAAATGGGAAGTAAATCTAAATGGGATTTTAACCTATCGGTTGGACTGTGAAATCTGGGTCACTGCTTAATTTTACTGTTGTGAAGAATTAGTTGGTCAAAATGGCACAAACTGAGAGCTGTTATTTAGTCCTTCAGTGGCTGAGAGGGTGATGGAGAAAAGAATATCAAGGTGACAAGATTCTGGTTAGTCACAACATCATGTTCACATTTGAATTCTGGGATAAGTTATTTACAGGATATGTTTATTCCAGCAGTAAATGTATAGATTCTTTATTCATTGCCTTTTGACCAAAATGAATTGACCAGATCACAGTGTAAACAGATACTTTGGGATTTTTATTAAATACCAAGAACTTCCCATTATCATGGAAAATAAATGTAAATTTACTATAGCAATGCTTTAGCTATTTTAATTAGGAAGGATACAGGGCTGGGGCACTGGGGATCCATCTTACTGCAGGAACCATTTGCATCATACACAAAACAGGGGGCCTGAATCCAGCACACGGGAAGATAATTTCTCAAAGCATCTCAGTGACTTAGCGGTGTGTACTCATTTTCAGGTGCCACTGAGTCACTTGAGCTTTGTAGTGAACCAAATTGACCAAGAAGGGTCTCATTTGGTTTGAGTAGTTTGATTCAAGACAGTGCCACTTCCTTTTTACTCTAAAGATGGGCATCTCTGAAAGTCCTTGTGGGATCAACACCCGGGTTGTGGTCCAGAAGAGCTTCAAGAGTCTTGGATAGCAGGTCCCTTCAGTGTCAAAGGGTTAAGTATTTCTTCATAAAGGGGGGTTGGAAACAAATGATTTAAATCCTGACTGGGCATTGTAGAAACTGAGTCTTTAATCTGGGTGGGTTTTATACATCTATTTTTCTAATTCCTGAGAGCATTATCTGAAGTGTTAGGGAATTTGGACCAGTGCAGTCATGGGACTACCTCTGCTTTACTGTTGTTTTAAGTGAGGGGAAGAGGAAAATACCTGGCTCTGCTGAAACAGATTTGTCACCAGCTTCCAGGAAGTGAACAGGCAGTTAGTGACTGAACTAGACCTGCTGAAAGGAAGTATCTAGAACAGTTTGCATGTCAAAACATAGCTTAGCTCTTATATGTTTATTTTCATGTAACGTACCAGGTCTCTGGATATTTTCAAGCTTTCAGCTGAATGACTCCAGTATTTTAGATACCATGTTAATACTGTCATCATTTAATGTATGTTCTCCAGGTGTACAATGTAAATGAAGGAGAGGTGTGGTGCAGATGGAACAAGTGCAATGACATTGTGGAAGTTCTTATTTCTTTTTGACATGGTTGTTTTTCATTTTTAAGTTATTTGAGCAACCGAGTTATCTGTCCTCCTGCCCTGCTGGAAATGCTGCTTTCTCTCTCTGTAGCATTAGTAGCTTCTCATGCTTTTTCTTGGTTATGGAGATGCACAAAGCAACCAAAATACCACATTGTTTTCATGGACCAAAGCCACCTTCTACAGGTATTCTTTTAAGCATACCCCTTACAGATGGAAATTTCACTCTAGCTTGCACATTGGCAAATGACTATCCATCAAACCCAGAATGCAGTGAATAAATACATCACTGGGTCAGCCAGCAACTTTGCTTCACAGTGTTGCTCATTTCTGAGAGGCAGTGTTGTATTAGCCCCAGACATGTTGCTGGCAAGCCAGCTGCCTGTTGATTCCATGGGGTAGATTGTCAGGGGTGTAATGGTGTTGGTGCACGTAACAGGAACGCTTCCCCTGAAAGGTGGGTTTTTATGGGGTGGTTCAAATAGGTGAGCAGTAGCTGGTGTGCAGGGCTTGTGAGCATAGGGCTTGGGTAGCAATCACATTTTGCTTACCCTTGTGTTGGAAACTTTATATGGTGAACCTGAGATTGAAAACTGTCCTCTTGTAGAGAGATAAGTGATAAACTGATTTTTGAAGGCAGTCTGGAGCGGTTAGTTGCATAGCTGTCACTGAAATTCAGTGTCCATTAGACATGGAACTGCCACAGGCTGCTTTTGAAAATCCCAAGCTTGTAGCTAGTTGTATCCTACAGGCTTAAGCGTCTGTTTCTTAAATACTCAGGGTGCTCTTGGAATTCCAACATCACACATCCAGATGTTGTTAGAGGCCCTACAGAAAAGCTGCCTATGCTCTTACCCCGCTCTCTAAAATCCATGATGTCAGTGTCTAAAGCCAAACCCTCTGAAGAATATAATTTTATGCTATAGAAATCAGTGGCTCATGGCCACATAGACTTGTGCAATAGTAGTCCACAAAACAGCAGAGGTCAGTTTGTTCCTCGGATACATTGTCATCATCCTCACTGGTTGCTGCCAACACCTGCAATATCCAGCTGATAAAACCGAAGCTACTCTTGAGATACTTTTCATCACAGTATTTTGGTTCATAACTAAAAAGAAATAAAAGGAAATCGGAACTCTGGCTTCTGAGTGTAAATCTGGGAGCCCGCATGCTGCAGAGACCCCAATTTAGGAAGGGGCTCAGGGAACAAGATTCGTCCTGCTGTGGAAAACGGCTGTGATGGTAAATAGCAGCAGTAGGTGGCACTAGAAATTTGAGTTCCCGTGTCTCCACAAGGACCTGAAACCTGGCAGAGGGCAGACAGAGGGAGCTGGGTGGTGGTGAGATCTTTTCCAGGATGGAAGGGGGCTTCCTTCCCCCTTTTGTGTTTTAACTGAAGCTACGTCGAATCTTCCAATATATGTATGTATGTTGTTTGAATATACACAGAATGTCTATTGATTTAATTTTGTAGATACCCATTTCTGTATAAAGTTTTTGAAGATATCACTTTATGTATATATTGTACTTTGAAATAATAAACATACAAATGTATGGAAGTCTGTTTGGGGCTGCGGTTTGTGCCGTTGTTTACTGCTGCCTGACTCTAGGTTGTGCTGATAGCTCTCAGTGAAGGCCTGTGGTGGTGGAGAGGTGCTCCATGGTGGGTAGTCATCTTCAGTGAGTGGAAGCCTCCCCTTCTCCCTCACAGGGCTTCTCTGGGTAAGCTGTGCCAGTGTCTCACCACTCATAATAAAGAATTTTGTCCTAATCCCTAACCTAAATCTCCTCTTTGTCAGTTTAAAGCTATCCCCCCTTGTCCTGTCCTTACATACCCTTGTAAAAACTCCCTGTCCAGATTTCTTGTCTGCCCCTTTTAGGTATTGGAAGACTGTTACAGAATCACAGAATCATAGAATAGCTAGAGTTGGAAAGGACCTTAAGATCATCTAGTTCCAAGCCCCCTGCCATGGGCAGGGACACCTTACGCTAAATCGTGTCACCCAAGGCCTCGTACAACCTGGTCTTGAACACTGCCAGGGATGGAGCATTCACAACCTCCCTGGGCAACCCATTCCAGTGCCTCACCACCCTCACAGGAAATAATTTCCTCCTTATATCCAGTCTAAACTTCCCCTGTTTAAGTTTTAACCCATTACCCCTTGTCCTATCACTACAGTCCCTGATGAAGAGTCCCTCCCCAGCATCCCTATAGGCCCCCTTCAGATACTGGAAGGCTGCTATGAGGTCTCCACACAGCCTTCTCTTCTCCAGGCTGAACAGCCCCAACTTTCTCAGCCTGTCTTCATACGGGAGGTGCTCCAGTCCCCTGATCATCCTTGTGGCCCTCCTCTGGTCTTGTTCCAACAGTTCCATGTCCTTTTTATGTTGAGGACACCAGAACTGCACACAATACTCCAAGTGAGGTCTCACAAGAGCAGAGTAGAGGGGCAGGATCACCTCCTTCAACCTGCTGGTCACGCTCCTTTTGATGCAGCCCAGGATACGGTTGGCTTTCTGGGCAGTGAGCGCACACTGAAGCCGGCTCATGTTCATTTTCTCATCAACCAACACCCCCAGGTCCTTCTCCGCAGGGCTGCTCTGAATCTCTTCTCTGCCCAACTTGTAGCTGTGCCTGGGATTGCTCCGGCCCAGGTGTAGGACCTTGCACTTGGCATGGTTAAACTTCATGAGGTTGGCGTCAGCCCACCTCACAAGGTTATAAGGTCTCCCCTGATACCTTGAAAGCAGCTGAACTGCCAGTGAACTGTTCTTAACCAGGAGTGGGTCTAACTACACGGTATGGTCTGCGGTTGGAGGCGTTGCTACTACTCACACACAGCCTGGCAGGCAGTGTTCCTCTGTTGCACTATGTGAACAAGAGGTGGCAGTGCATCTCTGCCGCATACCTCTGGTACTGCGCCTCAGGTCTAACAGCAGAGCCCAGGAGGACGGGGCTGCCCGCCTTCCATAGCATCACAGACTAGTTTGGGTCAGAAGGGACCTTAAAGTTCCAACCCCCTGCCACAGGCAGGGACACCTGCCACTAGAGCAGGTTGCTCCAAGCCCCTGTGTCCAACCTGGCCTTGAACACTGCCAGGGATGGGGCAGCCACAGCTTCTCTGGGCACCCTGTACCAGCGCCTCAGCACCCTCACAGGGAAGAATTTCTTCCTAATGTCTAATCTAAACCTCTTGGGAACCTGTGTGAGACTTTTCCACCCTAAGGAGAGGTGATAGGTGTGCAGCAATTCAGAACTGCTGTGAGCTACTGCCAGTCCCTTGAGTCCTCCTTGCCCTTGTGTACTGTGAATTTGGCAGTCCCAGTAGCAAGGGCTGATTCCCTTGGCTCCACGTCTGGGATGCTATTTGCTGCTCTGGTTTATTTATTTCCTTGAAGAAATCTAATGTACTTTGGGTTTTGGCCGTGATAGTATTGCTTTAACAAAAAACCAAACAACGAGAAATGATGCTGTCAGGTTGCTGGCTGTTCACTGTGCCTATGCTTACATCAATCTGAGATTGCCCTTGCAACCTGATTACAGGGAGATAGAAAAAAGGACAAAGGGAGGAGATGAAGGGGATAATTTACAGAGTTGATTATATTATCTCCCAGAGTACCTTAAATGAGAGAAGGAGGTATCCTCTTTTCTGTTGGAATTTAATGGCAAATTACCACTACCTTCCTAGGTGAGGGTTCCCAGTAAGGTTTTGGTTACTTTTACCTCAATGAATTGGTTTACAGCTCACTCTTTTCCTTTCAGACTTTTCCACTGAGCAGATACAGCTCTTTGTGACAGATGTGACCAAAACCCAAGGTTGATTTGTGCTTCCCAAGTACTTACCACTGCTGTTTGGAAACAACAGCCTGAAGCTGAACTTCCTCAAGTACTTATTTTGGCTTTGGTGGTGTTTGCAAGTACAACTTCTCACCCTGTTCTTAGTGAGGTCTGTGTTTCAGGCTGACACAGCACAGCTCTGTGTGCAGAGGAAGGGTTCTCATGCCACGTTAGTGTTGAGTACTTACTCCTGAAGTAAGCCAGTCTGATACTGGAGCTATTGGGCAATAAATACATAACCCACTGCTAGCAGTTCATTGTCCAGCTGACTGAAAAGAGGAAATCAGTGCTGCTATTTCCCCCCACCCCGGCTCTATTTCAATGGGAGTTTTAAAGAGAGCTATGGTTGGGTTTTGTTGCTGTGGTTGTTTTCAGGCTATTTTGCATTAAATCACAGCGGGTCTGTGCCAGATTCTGCAAGGTTTCTGCATGCATAGATGTAACCGTTGCAGTAGCAGCGTACTGCTGAACAAATTGTTCTCGTCTAATGTGTATAAATGGGCTGTTCAATGTGTTTGTGGCCGTTCTGCTCCGGTGGATGCCCTATAGTCAGGAAATCTTTCAGCCTTCAGGTTTGGCAGGGCTCTTCACCATGTGCAGCTGCACACTGGTGTCAGAGGGGCTGCTCTATTTGCTCAAAGTGAAACACCTTGCTCACTAAAAGGACGAATCCATCCCAATCTGCACACCTATGGGCTTCTTAAGAAGTTCCTATTTAAGAATAATCCCACGTGTGTGGAATAAGGAGAAGCAGCAGAGGAGCATGGAGAAGTCTGTAAGCTCTAACCAAAATGCTAATGTTTGACACGAGGTAGGTGGGCACAGCCTAGCAGGCACCTCCAGGGTGGCTTATGAGTCTTTAAATGCTGCCGTGGGCCAACCAACCTCAGCTCTTCAGGAGCCAGTGCTGCCTCTGAGGATGGAGGTGGCTGAAACAAGGTGCAAACGCAGGGCAATGTCTTTTCAAGTTGTGGCTGCAGCCAGAGGGGTTGTGAGGCTGCACGGTGAGAGCTCATTAAAGAAGGAGCAGCTCTGCTCCGGAGCCAGGCTGAGAGAGCTGGGCTGGTTCAGCCTGGAGAAGAGAAAGCTCCTTAAGGGGAGACCTTAGAGCAGCTCCAGTGCCTAAAGGGGCTGCAGGAAACCTGGAGAGGAGCTTTGGACAAGGGCCTGTAGGGCCAGGCCAAGGGGAGTGGCTTTAACGTGCCAGAGGGGAGACTGAGATGAGCTCTTAGGCAGAAGCTCTTCCCTGTGAGGGTGCTGAGGCGCTGGCACAGGGTGCCCAGAGAAGCTGTGGCTGCCCCATCCCTGGCAGTGTTCAAGGCCAGGCTGGACAGAGGGGCTTGGAGCAACCTGCTCTAGTGGAAGGTGTCCCTGCCTATGGCAGGGGGTTGGAACTGGATGAGCTTTAAGGTCCCTTCCAACCCAAACCAGTCTTGGGTTCTATGAAAAGTAACTCTGACAATGCTAGATCTGAAGTAATTTTAACTACCGTCAGTGCCTGGCACGGGGGAGAGAAGAAGGTGAGAATTCCTTGTATCAACATTGAGTAAAAGCAGCATATGGCCAAGTTATGGGTTGAAAAAACAAGCCCAGCGCCAGTCAGCCTAAACCTGTTCCATGGCTCTGCACATTCTGTAGAGTTTGGCAAGTCGAAGAGGTTGTAAAACACTGAACCTGGGCTCAGAGCTGTGACCTGTTCATGCTGTACATGGCTTGTACTATTTAGCTGGTGTGGCCTCACCTTAGAACTCAGATTATCAGGG